TTTCATAACCCCATATGAGGGATGGAGACATGGAGACACATAACTAAGAAGTATTTGAATTTCCTTTCCTGGAAAACAGTGCTGTGTAGCGGAGAGAGTATGGCTTTGGGAGAGAGTAACTGGCTTTGACGTTCACAGGCTCTAGGTATGTAACCTTGGGCTGGGTTTGTAACCTCAGTTTTCTCATCTGTGAAACAGGACTAAGAATATCATTCTTTCAGGGCTTTTGTGGATCTTAAATGAGAGAACATATGCAAAACAGCCAGCATACAGTCTGCCCATACTAAGTGCTTTTTAAAGGAACTTTTTAAAGGTCCTAAGCAGTTAGGTTCCCCAGTGTCTGGCAGCCAGGCTTCCCGATTCTAAGTCTACTGTTCTTTTCTTCATGGGCTGGAAATAAACTTTTGTCATCCTCCTACCATAGAGATATATTTGAGGCTGCACTCTCTAGGAGGTTTATTCCTCTCAAGCAGCACATTTTCCCCTGGCTGCAGGAGAAGCCCGAAATGAAAAGCCTACAGATACTTCAAGGGTCTATTTTAAGCTCCCACCTAGTGGCTTCTAGGTTTCTATGAACTTTATAAGTGAATGGGGGGGGTGTGGGCAGCAAGGGATCTGACCTGCTACTATAGATAAATATTACCAGGATTTTAAATTTAGGTACCTTAATTGAGCATATTAGGGTGTTCACTGGAGGTAAGACAGGAGGGCTAGAGTTGAGTTTTATTGTGCCCAGGCTATCTGGTCATCTCTGGAACCTTATAGAATACTCAGTCTGTGGGCATTAATTAAACTCTTTACTGGCAAGTTAGCCAAGTATGTGGCAGAGTCTCCACCCCTTCTAGCTGAAATTGTTTTATTTACAGCCCCTGCTCAGGGAGTCTGAGCTAGGCAGGTCTCTGAACTTAGAGGAAACTGATTGGTCCCAGGGTACACACCTGACCCAAGGGCAGCCCACCCATAGGCTGACCAGTGACCAATGAGGTGATGTGGTGACATGGACTCTGACCAATAGGGTAGCAGTAATTAAAGCTAGGAAACCTGCTTCCTTTAGGATATGGGGAGGGAGTCCAAAGTGGCACCTGGGGTTAACAAGCTTATGAGCTTATGGGCAAAGGATAGCATGGGCTTTGGAAGAGATGAAGAGAGCAGCTTCTGGTTCTGACAGCTTTTCATTCCTAACTTCTTGTTCATTCACTCCTTCACTCAACCAGTACTTACTGAACACCTACTAAAAATCAGGCCCTGTGCTAGATGCCTCTTGAAATTCCGTATAATCTTTGTTCTCCTGGTGCTTCTAGTCTTAAGACAAACATTAATTACAGATGAATAAATAATTCTTAAACTTTTATGAAATATGAAGAAAAGATATTGATAGGGAGTATGAGAAATTGAACAGGGATGTCTGACCTAGTTTGGAAGTCTGGGAAGGCTTCCCTGGAGAGGTGATGTTTCAGCTGAGAAGTGAAGGGCCAGTGTGAGTTACTTAGTTGAAGGGTGAATTTAGGGGAGAAATGTGTTTCAGGCAGAGGAGCCAGCATGTGTAAAGAAGCAGGAGGGAGCATGGCTTCTTTAAGGGACCACCAGAAAGCCATTGTGGCTGGAGTGGAGTGGAGCTGGGCATTAAGTGCCATTCGAATCTATACACAAACCCTTTTTCTTAATGTGGCCTGAGGAGACTCTCGTCCTTGAAAAGTAAGGCCCAGTGGACAAAAGCACCTAGTGTATACCCCAGATGCTCAGAAGGATACAAGATCAATAGCATAGCCTCATCCCAGGCTCTGCTGTTTACTAGCTGTGTGACTTTGGGCAAGTTACTTAATATCTCTGAGGCTCAGTTTGTGCATCTGGAAATAGAGACAATAAAAACGTTTGCACAGTGTTGTGGTGAGGATTAAAGAGACAATGCTTGTGTGCATGCCTGTCTTGCTTTGTGGCACATAGTAGGTGCTTAGTATACACTTTTGATATTAGCCAAATGACTGAGAAAGGACCAGGGTTCAATAAGAATTCACTGTTAAAAAAGATTCACTTCTTTTCACACTCTGGTGGGGGTAGAGGTGGGGGCAAGACTAATAGGGTGTTCAAAACAAGGTAGTAAGTGATGCAGGAGGACCCAAGGGATGAGCCAAGGCAGGGGTCAGGTTGTTAGCCCAGGTAAACACAGCCACGTCTACAGGCTGGCACATCCAGGAGCTTGGGCATGAAGCTTGCTGGGACCAGAGGGGAGACAATGGAGCTGGAGCCAAGAAGAGAGGAGCTGGAGGAGGGGATCATGTGGGGCTGGGGACATGGGTTCAACTTCAGAATCCAGCCCCACTCTGGGACAGAAAGTCCAGTGCATAGTCATCAGTACTTTTGAAGCTCTCACTCCCCACTAATCCCAGGTTCTAGCAGGTGCACAGTGTTAAATGGACGGAGGGATGATAGTTACCTAGGCACAGAGTCACATCCATCACATGCAGTGTTGGCGGGTCAGGAGCACCTGCATTGTGGCTTTGAGCAATCTGTCCATCTGGGCCAGGGCTCCCCCCACAGAAGGTCACCAGCAGCAGAATACAGAGTTGAAAGTGGAGGGCAGTGCCAGAGATTCTAAGACATGGAGGCAAGGCCCTAGCCATGAGATTTGGGTTCTGGATGGGTTTATTCCAGAAAGAATACAGAACTTGGCAGATTTACTGAGAAGACAAAAGAACCCAGTCCCATGGATAAATCCTTCAGAGTGAGACAGTGAGTAGCAACACTGAGGAGGTATAGGCTTCTCTCTGTATTTATATATCACTTCATTCCATAAATGCATTGTGGTATATTTAATATTTATGGCCCAAGTGTTTTTCTTTGTTTTAAAAGTCACTCTGGAAACGGAAGCAAAAGAAAAATAAAGTTGGGAAATTATAATGGAAACAGGGTGGAGTCAATACCCAAAATATATGCCATAAGGTCCTATAAAATTGCCAGAGGTAGGCTAAAAATTTGGTTCTGAGCTGCCTAGCGGCCTGAGCAAGGAGGGAAACAGGAGCAGTCATCAACTTTATGATGTTCAGAAGATAAACCACTAGCAACTCCGTGAGATACAGCCTTTCAGGGTATTGCTATCTGGGGTGATTTTTACCCTGGGTCCTCACACAAAGGAGAACCATCGGTACACCGGGCTCCTGCCAGCATACTGGTGTGAGCTGCTCACACATTTCCTGTTTCTAGGTCAGACCTAGCTAAGGAGCTAGGGTGGAACTGAGGGGCTCACAAACAGACTCAGCTAGGAAATAGAATAGGGGAGAATTAACATCTCTATTCCCCCAGACACATCTCTACCTGAAACCTTGCTGGAGACCAATAGAGGTGTTTCTTCAAAACCTGGGGAATGAAGGACCTGGACAACACCACTTTAATTCCCCACCTGGCACTGAAAGCCAGTGTAAAGTTGGTCTGGGTGAAAATGGAGGTGTAATTAATGAGGAGACTATTAAGGGAGTGAGAGTTACAGAGCCATCCCCAGCTGTGGGGCTTCACTTGGCTTACCCTCCAGTGACTCACTGGCTTATGAGCAATCCTCATATGCCTGATTTAGAGGACTTACTCACCCTTCAGAGAAAGACTTTAATGCAATAAAGCAAATGTCAGCAAGTGGGACGCGGCTTAGCACATCACCCAGCCTGCACCCAGCTTCTCCCTCCCTGCCTCTCCCTTCTCAAGGCCCCTTCAGCCATTCAGCACCTGGACTGGCTCGCACAATGGGACACACTCCAAAGGTGAAAGGAAGTTCAGAGATGGGAAACCAGGCAGAGACCTCAGGCATCAGGTCGACCAAGCCCTGAAGTTTGGTCCAGCGAGGTTAGAGATTAGCACCGAAGCAGTGGAGTTAGGGGCCGAGTGAGGGTTAGAACTCAGGACTTCTCCTTCCCTGTACAGTGCTCTTCACTCCACTTTCTTCCCCTGGAAGCCCTGCTTGGATTATGCAGGTGAGGGGTATAGGCTGAAAGAAATGCAGCCTCCCCAGTCTGGGTGACATTCTTATCTGAGGACTTTCCAAGGACCCTGTGGGAAAAGAAAGTTGTGTGGGAAGCAAGACCTCAAGCAAATCCTTTGAGGTGAGACGTTTAGAAAGAGCTGGGCTACCCTGGGCTCAGCTGCCTTCTTGCTATTTGCTGACATGGCACCTGTGGAGGGAGCTGGAGGCCTCTTTGGGCCCCCAGTAATCAAGGGGTACGGATTGGAATCCTTGTGTCAGGCATCTGTGATGATATAAATCCCAGCCAGTTTCCAGTTCCCCCCGATTAGAAAACAGGGGCCTCGAGAGTTAGGCTGGAGCAGAGGCACAAGCCTTGGGATAAGCCCCTTCCTTCCAACACCACACAGAGATTATTCAGAAGGCAAGCTGATTCAGCCTTGGATTTAAACCCACTCATCGAGGGGTTTACATAGGAACTCCTGAGGGTATTATCTGGAAAAATTAATTCCGAAGGGTATAAATAGGGAGAACAGGTCCTTAAGGTGAACCTTCACCTAGTTCACTTATTTGTCCCTTGGTCATTTCCCCAAACTTTTCTGAATGTCTGCCGTATGCCAGGGACTGGAGGGCAGAGGCTGACCACCAGCTTGGAGGGAGGAAGCTGACCTCAGGTTGGCTGGAATCAAGGGCCTAGAGATTTAAGGGACTTTTAGGATCATCTAGCTCAGTTCACCCATTTCATACATGAAGAAGCTGAGGTTCGAGTTGGACTCTTTCCCTGGGGCTCATGGAAGTGAAGAGCCCAGAATAGGCGGATGTTCTCCATGTAGACTGCGCCTAAGGAATTGTCTTGCAAGCGTGCTCAGGGAAGCCTCTCGGTTGGAAAGCACTATTCTGTATCATTTTCAAGATTGCAAGCTTGTGAGCAAATGCACAGCCTCATGCCTCCAGCTGCACACCCTTGGGGTTCATTTGGAAGTAAAACCCAGTGAGGCAGGCTGGGTCCCCACCTCAATGTATCCCTGCCCAACTCACCAACATGAAGAAGCGCTTTTTTCTTTTTACTATTTTTATTTTGCACTATAAAAAAAAACATACAACAACAATGACAACAACAACCAGTAACATACTGCTTTTCTTCACATTCATATGGATTTTAGGAAATTATTGCCTTTTCCCCTGGAGAAATAACCTACAGACAAAAAAAGAAGTAGTACCACATTGAGAAATCTGCAAATCCCAGAAGTCAACAGCTTGAAGACAACCCCCAGGGGCAGGGAGGAAAACATGTGTCACCAGAGACAAAACAAGCACATGTAAGGACAGCAAGCTGGGGTGACGACCGTCTCAATGCCACTGACCCAGGCAGTAGGTACCCTTTCTCTCCTGGCACCTACTGCCACCACCTCAAAGGGGTGATTTTTGGTCTATGGTCTAAAGAACTCTTCAAATAACACAAGAGTTGCTTTGAGGAGAGGTGCAACGAGAACGGTTCAAGTATGAGTAAGAATCATGCCGAAGTCCAAAGTCAGGGAAGAACCCACAGCGGGAGGGAAACCAGGCTGTCACCATCTACTTCACCCAGCTGACTCCACTGGACTCAGGATGGAGTCTTGAAAACATATGAGGGTTCAAATCGGCATATACGCTGTGTTCCCTAAAGCCCTGTAGGGTTACTTTCCCGACTAGATGGCGACCAGATCAGCTTATGCCCTGAAGCAACACAGACAGATCCCGAGGCTGCCAAAGTTAAAAACGTAAGGTGGAAATTGTGCTTCCTTCAAGGTGAACTGGCTTTGTTACTGCCTTTCCTCCTGGTCTAGCGACTGCTTTCCCCCACGTTGCTGCAGGTATTTATTGCCTTATGCTTGAAATGAAAAGGCGAACTTCGAGGTGCAAAGACCGGGCAGTCCTGAGGGCAGGGGTTCCGGAAGTACAGTAGTCAGCACGTGGGTGCTCTTGTAATGGCTTGGCCTTCCTTCGGTCCCGAGAACCTATCCCCGAGATCAGTCTGAAGTTTGTTTGCAAACCTGGTGACCACTCATTGTCCCATCGGGGCAGCGGGACAGAGTGAGGTCTTCAGTATTGCACAGGTATGAAATGTCAATGAGTCAAAATACAAAATCACAGTTGTTCGTGGGGCTGGACTGGCTCCTCTATCCCGGTTTTAGCAGGATGTGGCTGTGGCCATGGGGCTCCGGCTGAGCTCTGAGACCGTCGAGTGGGTGGGCACTGGTGCCAGCACCGAGGTAGGGAATGTGCAGTACGAACCCTGCACGTCGGGGCTCAGTGTCTGCAAATGGGCTATGAACGAAGGGCCGGCTGCCTCCCCTTGGCAGGAGGGAGCCTGGGGAGTAGGCGTGGAAGGCAAGATCTCAGACTCATACTGCAGGAGCTGGCCCATGAAGCCGAAGTTGGGCGAGATCACACTCCTCCTCTGCTTGATGTAATCAAAGGCGTCCTTCAGGCGGAACTGCTTGGTCTTCATGAGGTAAGCCATGCAGATGGTGGGCGAGCGGGAGATCCCAGCCTCACAGTGGACCAGGACCTTACCTCCCTCTTCCCTGACACAGTCTGGAAGAAAGGAAAAACAGTGGGAATGAGTTGGGATTGGAACCCAAAGACAATTGGTTTAATTAAAGGAGTTTTAAAAAAAGAGACCTAGTTATCAAACGGTCTGCCTCCTTAACTGCTATGGTATGTTCCCACATGAGTCTGCTGCCAGACTTTAATCCCCACTGGTGAGGATAGAGCTTTTGGGGTCTCCCAATGATGTCTATACTTCCATAGGACCTTTACAACCCTTAGAGCTGCTTCCCAGTTCTTCAGGATTCTTGCACAGGTTCTGCCACTAGAGGCGCTAGACCTGGCATAACCTGCTTCCTGGGGATGCCATCTTAACTTGGGTTCTACGGATAGGATGGGTTTCAAGAGGTCTTTGGAAAATCCTTGAGATTGCATGTAAGTTTTTACTGGGCATCCACATTTTTCTGAGAGGGTCCCAGGCTCAAAGACTGACTCAGAGAAGCAATTTGTCTCTGGGGGTTTGATTCTAAAGGCGATGACCTAGCCCACATCCTGGTAGAGGCCTTCCAGTCTCCCCGGCCACCCTTGTTTGGCTGTCACAGGGCAGGATGCTTGGCTCTGCCCCAAGGATTCCCACCAACCAAACATACAATAAATAATGCACAGCCACTAATTATAGCCTTGGCTAAGTGACGCTTACTAGACGAAGGATATAAATGGCTCTGGCAAACTCCATCTTGCACAACAATGGGAGTCACTGCTATAAAGCTACCACCATTGGTTAGCATTCGTTAGCTCAGTATGACAAAAGGTGGGGTGCCCTCCATTTCTGTTCCACTCCTCCCCCAAAAATGGGCAGAGGTAAAAGGTTAAATATATTTACATACCAAATAAAAACCACAAAAAAGTCTTTCCAATTCCCTCTCTTGCTAGTGGGGAAACAATTACATCACAGGAAGTTAGATGTACCTGGTATTATGTAAGGCCACAGCATGCAAAAGCATTTAAGATTTTGAAGGGCAAATAAAAGGTCAGCCCCCTTACCCACCTCCCTCCTCAAGTTCAAGAAGTTTGCAAATGTACCTATAAGATCAAAAAGATCACGTTTCTGAGGGGTCACAGAGGAACCCCATCAGAGTGAAAACCCCAAAGGATACCCCATGGTAGCTCATGAAAGGTGCCCCCCATACAGTCTCTGACTCAAAAGGAAGAAGAAAGTCCCTGTAAGTGAGTTCAAAGGGGACTCTTAAGTCCCTAGGACCACAGGGTTGTGACTCCGATTTTCCTTTGCTCCTCCACTGGCCTCTGAGTAGTGTAGCTTTTAATTGGCCCAAAGCCACATCTCAGAAAGCAAAGGGCCTACAATGTGTTGCTTCTGGATCCCACTCCACCCCTCAGGGCTTGCCTTCCATGTGGCCCTCGGAAGGGGTCAGTGCCTGGTTTGGCCTCGGCCCCTCCTTCCTTCAGCAGGCCAAGGAGTCTGGGGAAAAGCATCCCATGTTCTTTCAGAAAGCTGTGGGTTTGTGCAGTTATGTATATAAACAGACACAATGCACACATAAGATGGGGAGGGAGGTTTCTGGGAAGCAGATGGGGGCGGGTTTCATGATCTCACTGAGCAGCTATCCAGGTAATTAAATAACAGCCTGAGAAGGGCAATGCATTCCCAGGGACGGGGACAGGGAGAACAAGTTAAGGGTTTCTCACCCTGAACCCATCACTTTGGCTGCCTCTCAGCAACTCCAAAGGACTCAGTTCAGCCTAGAGGCTCAGGGGCCAGGGAGGGCAGGCTTGGCCCTTTGCCTCTGGTGAGTTTTTCATAGGGTTTCCTGTGCAGTAGAAACCATGTGCGAGGAGCCAAGAGGGCCCAGCATGTGGCTGATGGGGTAGGGGACCCTTTAATGGCTCCTTGCACTAAGTAGTATCATTGCTGCACCCAACACCTGCCTTTTGCCCTCCAACATCCGTCAGAGCAAGAAGCAGGAAGAACATTTCTCTGTGTCAACAACTCTGCATGTTTAAAGGGAAAGAAGGAAAGGGGTCAGGACCACAGGGATGGGGAGTGGGTCTCGCAAATTTGAGACACAACAGTTAGCCTAGCCTCTGAGGGAGAGGGATGGGGAAGAAAAGATATCAAACAAAGAGAACCATTCAGGCTACACTGAGAAGCTGGAATCCCAAGACCCAAAGTCCTCTCCAGGCAGAGGGACCAAAGGTTTCCAGGTCTACACAATGGAGTAAATGATAACTGCCTCACAAAATATACAAAGGATGCAAAAATATGCCACCTTCTCTGTGCATAAAGCACAGGGCTTGAGAAGAGTGCTATCTTCAATCCAAAATTAGCTGAAATGCAAAACAGACTGCCCCCAAAGCAGTTTGCCAAAAACCATGGAAAGCTGCCGGAGCCCCAGGGGCTCAGTGCGTAAGTAGTGCTCTCTCATTCCTTCTGTTTGCTTTTAAAAATATCTCAACCTACGTAGAAGCACAGTTCGGGTGGTTTTTTCCCTCCCCTGCTTCCTTGATGTGAAGCATCACGCACACATGCACCCCACTTCCTGCCCAGCCAGAAACACTAACAAGAGCGGCAGTGAGTCCAGCCATAAAATTATATTAATTCATTTATCTTGCAAATTAAAGCCCCTATTAATAGCAACTCAAATCCTTCCCTCTGCCTTTTTGGTAGATGCATCCCTTCTTGGCTCCAACTTGTGGTGGCTGCACAAACAAGACGCTTTTCTTCTCAGTGAAGGGAGCCCCCATCAGTACATCGAAATCTAAGAACACCTGGGGGGTCCCCAAAACAGCTGAGGGGGAATGGCTGCACCTACCGATGAAGTCTATTGCTTCTTGAAAGTGGGAGCTGATGTCAGCTGTGTGGCTGTCTTCCACAGGGATCCATTTGTAGTGTAGGTGGGTCGTGCAGGCCTCGGAGGTTCGCCGTGAGACATTCAGCAGGGCCGTGATGTGCAGGTTGGCAAGGAACTCGCACTCGGATGCATGGTAGGCACTTCCAAGGTAGAGGAATGGAAGGATTTCGACCGGGCCGCCCTGGAAGCAGGGGCAAAAGACAACCAGGAAATATTGGACTGGCTGGCTCTTTTGGGAGAGGAACAAAACAACCCTGACCTAACCTATTTGCTTTAAGGTGGGAGGTTCCCTTTCTGGTTTCCAGGTAGAGAAGGTTCAGAGGCAGAGCAGTTCACGAGTGTGGGTGAAGCCTCCGTCCTGGCAAACTCTCTACCTTACATCACTGCCTTGTGACTCAATGACAGCAAATCCCACACAGCCAAGATTTTCATTTTCTTATATATATATTGAAACAGCAGGAAATGCCAGCGGCCTTCCTATGCTGACAAGATGAGAAGCGTGTGTTGTGATGGAAGCCTCAAGAGGCCCGTGTGGAAGTTCTAGCTGCCCTGAGAGTGCCAGGGCAAGCCCTTTAACCTCAGGGACAGCCTTGGTTTCTTTCTAGATAAAATAGAAAAGTGTTCAACAAGGTGAGCTCCCCTCTTCACAATCCAGACGTTGTATATAATGTCTTTCATCAAAACTGGGACATTGTGAACCCTAAGATGCAGCTGGATCTCAGGGAGATCCTCCAGCCCCACCCCTCCAAAAAAGTACGCTTCTCCAAAGCGAGAATAGTCATGATCCACCCAGGATCCTCAGGTAAAGAAAAGCTGTTAGGCCGTGAGCAGAGGGGCATCCTCCACCCCTGCTCTTCTTCAAGTGGGGCTGAGTTTTGGTGAGAGATGCTGACATCCTCAGCCTTTTGGGAGGCCACCCACACAGCAGGTTTCTAGTTAAGGAGGATCCCCATTAGAACCAGAGACCATCTACCCCCGAGGCAAAGCTAAAAAGAACTGCTAGCTAGTCGGGCTCTGGCCATCTCAGCATTTCCAGGGTGGCAGGAAAAGCCATTGTTCCATAATTCGAACAATGGGAGCCCCTGGGGATTTAGAGGGAAAACACTGGTCTAGGGGGACAGTGGCTGTGCCTTTGGGAGCCATTCCTGTATCATCCATCCGCCTCCTGTGTTTCTATTTCCTGTCCTGGAATAAGAGTGGAATGGAAACCTAGGGGCAGACCCACAACAGGGAAAGCGGCAGGGGACGAGGGCCGGCAGCAGGCAGTTCTCAAATTACCCTGCATGTGGTGTTTGCTTTTTCTTTCCTGAGAAGTCAGGTGTTTAAAGCAAAGGCCAGTCTGGCCACTTGAAAGAAAGTTATACAGGATTTTACAGACCGTACAATAGTAACAACCAGTATTTTTATTAGCTGGTCCCTGAGCTTAACACTTTAGATGTACCTACATAGATCTCTCGTCTCTTTAGTGGCTGGAAAATGCTGACACCACAGGCCTGGGATCATATCCAATTTCTTCTGGAGCTTAGCCCCACACCCTGAAACCACATTTCTTTCCTTTTTTTGAACTTTCTCTTTAGACTCAAGAGGAAGACACCAAAGGCCTTCAGAAATCCCAAAGGTTAACATGACCTCGCCTGGCTTCTCTCAGTGCAGAAGCACTTCTAAGAAGGAACACTGGGGGGTTCCCCAGATGAACCCTGGAGACACATCAAGGCCTCCCCGGTCCTTGCTTGGCCAAAGGTCTGCTATGCTTTCACAACATCCTGCAAATTCTCATTTCTCTTTCACTTTCTGAGAAAAGAGGGGGGAAACACCACCCAAACAAACAAACAAAAATAGAAATCCAGCTAAGCCGGATGCTCATGGCTTGAAAGCTAAGGGTTCATCATACACTGTAATTTTAATAAAGGAAAACAAACAAAATAATAACCCTGGCACCTTGCCAAGCTAATAGGCTTCCTCCTGACCAAGGATCCCTTTCAAGGAAAGGCCACTTGGCTGTCCTTGGAAGGTTATCCCCAGGGCAGAGCTCTGCTTGTGGTGGGCAGCTGGCATTTTAGGCAGCGTCTAGAAATCTTCCTTCTTATGATTTGGATGTGTTCTTATTCTGTGGGAAGAACTTGAAAAGATCCTCCTACCAAGTCAGGTGCCTAGAATGGCCTTCTTCCAAAAGAAGGCATGTGGGAAAAAGAACAGGGTCCTGAAAAGAACCAGAACAGGGAGTTAAGAGAAGGCGGTTCTGGGCCTAGTGCTGACATGAACCCTGCTGCAGGATTCTTGACGAAATCAATCATCCCACCAGCCATAACAGTTTTTCCCTCTGTAAAGTGGGAAGGTGGGTTTTGATCTTTGGTTTCTGCAGATTTGAGTCCTCGCCTGCTTCTCCCTCATCTTTCTACATCGTAGGTAACCCCATGACCAAGCCTTCCACTTTTCCTTCCTTTAATTAAAGTACAATTCTTTGAAGGAAAAGAGAAAACTCATGTTGCAGACACAAGAAATCCTCTATTATCTCTTGCTCTCCTCTGGTTTCAGAATTTATGGAATTATAAGCATCAAAAACCCTTTGGAAAGGCTGCTTAGCCATCCAAACAGTAGTTTCTCTACAACCCTCCCCCAATGTTCCTCCTGCCCCATCTCAGTTAAAAATACCAACAAGAAACGCCTTGACAGGTACCAGGTTGGTTTGCAGAAACTGCAAAACATGAACAATTACGAAGATCAATGCAGGTAGCCTGAAAGTCAGCTCTGAAACGTCTTCAGAGAAACCTAAACTGATATTTCGAAGCTTCTCTGCACCTCCCAGGCCAGCTAATATTAATGTATCTTTCACTTCCCTTTTCCTCCAAAAGCCGTCAAGCATCCTGAGGCTCGTTTGCTCTTGTCAGCTTATTTGCTGGAAGGAAGCCCGTTTACTCTTGGATGGAAACTCAAGTTGGCAAGCAACAGAGGCTCTCTAAAGCTAGAAGCCTCTGCCAACTCCCTGATCCGCAAAAGAACCAACCAGCGTGGCTGAGTGGGGAGAGGGGAAGTCACGGTGCTGCGCAGGGACCAGAGCCAAGATGCCACTTCCACGCCATGTACCTGGTCGTAAGCCGGCCTGTAACTGATGTTGAGCACTGGTTTCCCACTCTGACTGATGAGGGCTCTCTCGGTTTCAACCTTCTCTTGTGAAATGGGTTTTACATCCACACAACACTCAGGATATTCTGAGTGGAAAGTCTCATATCCCCCTACAAGAAAAAAGCAAGACAGATGTAAGCATTGATTTTTCTCAGGCTGTCAGAAAATGCCAAGAATTGATCAATACCCTGAGTGTGGAACAGTCAAAAATATTAAGCTACTATAGATTCTGGTCATCTAAAACAATTGAACCAAAACAAGTAATAGTTTTAGAATAGAAATGGGACACACACACACACACAAAAGCTATAGTTCAGAGAGGCAATGATTGACTTTTGATGTCTATCAGAAGCAGCTTAAACTGTGAAAGGGAATGTATCTGGCATCTGACAAATACTAAGCAAATCTCTCCAGAAAAGGAAAGCTACTTTCTCTCTTGTCTATCTAAAATGCAGGTGTGATTATGCAGAATTTTATTAATTCGTGAAACAGACTCCTAAACTGGTCTGTTTTGCCCTTAGCTCATGAGCTCTAAACTGGATTATAAATCCCCTCTATTCATATGGGAATGGGGGCTAACATGAGGTTTAAACTCAGGGCAATAAAACAGCCCTGCCCTTTCTCTCTCTCCCAAGGTGCTAAGAACACTGCTGACAATCTTCTCTATGGGCCCAATTTAGAGTAATCAATCTAGTTAATAACCTTCCAAACCAAACTGGAGGAATGAGGCCTCTGGAACTTAATTCTCACTCCCTTAAATAAAAACTCTCTCTCCCCTTGATGACCACCACTCCCCATTTCTCTCTCCTTATTACCCTCCCCTTGTGAACTTCCCCCCCCAACCACACACATGCCGTCAAATCAGTAAGTCAACTACTGGCAGGTATGATTCTGTAAAAATCTTTGCTATATTTAAACTTCTCCAAATGGATCATGTAAGGTAAAAACTGCTCTCTGACCAAGTCACAGAAACTTGAGTGTATTAATAACCCTTCTCAGGTCCATACATGTGGTGGGGAAGAACCAAAAGAAAAACTGGCCTCGAAGCCTCAGAATGCCAGGTGCCACTGGGGAACAGGCCAGCCTTGCCTGGGGGAACCCTTTGTTTCCAATCCAAAGAGACCTAAGGCACTTCCTAGAGCCTCCAGAAAACCCAGTTCTTTTTCTTGCCCAGAGAATTCACTTGGGGTCAAATCATCAATTAAATAAGCATTCTGAGACCATGTGGTTTTTCAAAGAGGTCACCCTTTTAACTTGGTCTTTGGTGTTGTGGTGTTGTGATACCCCACAATGGACCACATGGTGGCTATTTAAACCCCTGCAGCAGACAAATGGTTAATGGATTACATGGCAGCCTCCAGCTCCCTCCCAGAAGCTGCAGCCAATTCCTAGAATGAGTCATCTTGCCATTACTGCTTCCTCTCAGCTTGCTGGAACTGCCTCCGCCCCCACTTAGCACAACCAAATCTCCCCTGTGGTCACTTCGACAAACAGCTCATTGCCCGCCCCCCTCCCCAAGCTTCTGGACCTCCACAGTGACCAAGTTCCTGGTCACGATGACAGGCGGTGAGGTAGAATGTATGGAGGTGTCTGTGGCTTAGTTTCCCCTCCCCCCATAGCCCTAGGCCCCCTTCCTTCCTAGGAAGCAGACAGAATGCCAGACTTAAACTGACCCACAGCTTCCTTGGAAGAGGTGAGAGGTGTCCTCAATCAGTAGATCACTTCCTGTGCTTGGGCCTCAACATCCTGAGTTGCAGGAGACAAACTGATTGTCAGGGGATGGGAATCTGAAGCAAGAGTGGCCCAGTCCCCAGTCCTCTTAAACTTTAGAATGAGGCTTGGGAAAGAGAAGCCTGAAGGCCACCCCATCTCTTGGATTTAAATAGAGTGCTTAAGAGCTGACTCCCAGGAGGACAGACAGGAGGAGCGGGTGTGGGCTGGGTCCTGCCTGCCTGTTGACAAAATAAGGCAGGCAGACAAAGAGTCTTAGTGTAGTTGAGGAACAGATAAACAGCACCCTGCCTCTTCAAGTTGGGGTCAGGACGAGTCCTTCAGATTAGATGGTCTCTGTCTTTCACCCACTCCCATCTGAGGGGTGGAGAGGCGAAACATTCCTCTCTGGTGCCTCACTTGAGTTGTAAGAGCCATGGCAATTCTTCCGACTGCTTCAACGCTCTTTTGAGTGATTCTGCTTTCGATCAGCACCACACTGCCAGAGGAGCAGACAAAGTGCAAGGGCACTATATAAATACCCACTGACAATTCCATTCGGTTATCGTCTCGTTTTAGTGGATTTTTTAGGGGGTGGGGGAAACATTGAGGGAAGTGTAAAAGGTACTGTTCCCATGATCTGAGATGCCACCAGATTAAAAACCTGAACTTTCATCTGGACATGAGTTAAAGAAATAATGTTCTTTGGCAACAACTTAAAAGTTTAGCACTGTTATAAAGGTAAGTACCAAGCAATTTCTCCTGAACTTTAAAAGGGACATAACTTTCGCCCTGGCAATCTCATAATTTTACTGAAAGTGCACATGCAAAAGTATCTGGACAAAGATATACTCTCCCACATTGCTTCAAGTAGTAAGGCTGGAAGCAACCTACTTACTGGCTATCACCAGGGGACGGGTTTAAAAGTGAATCGGACATGTATGCTCTGATATGGACAAATCTCTCAAGACCTAGTTAGGTGAAAGAGGCACGAACAGGAACTATACACAATCATTCTATTTTTAAGATACTCATGGAAAATTAATTTATCTAAAGACGAACACGAAATAGTTGACCATTGTCTAGGGGGAGTGGAACTGGGTCCTAGGATATGCAGAATATGCACTTTTCATAGTACAGCCTTTATACTTTATGTTACTCTCATTTAAAAAATTTAAACATTAATTTTCCTGAGATGTGATTCTACAGAGCTGCCTACTTCCTGTGGCAATAACTTCTAAACTGCTAGCATAGCCCCCTTGGAGAGGGGTGGGGAGCAGAATAGGACTAAGAGGGGTTTCCTGGAACATATCTTTCATGCTACTGGAGAGGCAGAAGCTTTTCCTGTACTAAGAACAGGAGACCCCCCCCCCAAAAATCAGGAAGACAAAGAAATCAGGGGCCAACCTCTGCAGAGCTTGGAGGCCATGTTTCCATTCCCTAGAGGCTGAGGCTGAATAGAGAGGAAAGATTATCATCTTCTGCCCGTTGTTTCCCTAACAGGAATCAACAGGGGACAGTCTGCAAGAGGTGCTAATAGAGATGGGAGCTGCCTGTGTGCCTCTGGTATCTCCTGGCCTGGAGTGTGTAAAACTCCCCAAGTTGCTCGGTTTTAAACAGTGCTCTCACTCTCTCAGCTCACTGCATCTGAGTTCTGAACCGAATCAGTGTTACATCTGGAGGTGTCTACACCAGAGTTGCCAGGGCCCTGGGGCACTACCTGGGTTAAGTCCTTATCTCTGTACAGCAGGCTAAATCTTCGTAAGGTTACAAAGGACTCAAATACAAGGCAGAAGCAGTCATGGAAAGTGACCCAGAAATTTAAGTGTCAATCACCCACCCACCACCACTACCAAAATCATCTCCCCCAACAGGTGTAAGGGGCAGACTGGTGACGCAGCTTCTGGGGGGGGGGGTCCTCAAACCAAAGGCGACGCAATTCCCTTTACAACCACCCTGTGGCACCTCTCCTAAATCCTGGTTCCCTAGCCAGCACGCCTCCTACCCAGACAGCGGCCGGCCGGGTTTGGCCCGGGACTCCTCCAGGGGGTGATCCCGGGGGCGGGGGGAGAGGAGGTGAAAAGGGTGGGAAGGCTGTCAGCTCCAAACTGAGCAAGAGAAAGGCCTAGGAGGGGAGAAGGGGAAGCCAAGGAACAATAAAAAGCAATAAAACGAAATGGAAAGGAAGGGGAGGGACTCGCCAGGGTCAAAAAGGCAAGAGGGTCGAAGAAGACACAGCCTAACGTATGTTAATTGTCCAGGCGGGAGGCAGGGGGCACCGCGGCGCCACGCTCCCTGGGGCTGGGGGGGTAAGGTCGCGACCTGCTGATCCTGCCAGATCTATCAGGACGGCTCAGAGCGCAGGCCCCAGCGAGAGCGGTGAAACCCGCGCCAGGAAACGGGACCCGAGCCCAGCACGAGCCGACGGCACTCCCCCCTCCCCGGGCTGCTAAGAAGCAGCGCCCCCAGCTGCGTAAGCAGTCCCACCCACCCCGCCGACAGGCTGTCGGCGCTTTCGAGGAACCGGTGGGGAGGGGGAAGCTGTGAGCGCTGACACTGGCAGTGCCCTCCCTAGCGCACGTCAAGCCCCAGGATGCAGACCCAGCGGAGAACTTCCCGGGTTCCAGGGTCGAGGAAGGGCCCGGCGCCAGAACGGGTACTCCCCGAGACGGCCCCGGGGCCGTCCCGGGCGTGGACGGCGGAGGAGGGTGACGAGGGGACCG